TTCCTATTTACATGGATTTCCCTCAACCATTTGAAAAGAATAACAAAGAGGAACAAGAGATAGTAAAGAAGACAATTCATTAACAAGTAATCCCAGAAGTGGACTCCTCTAAAGTAAAAATACACAGCAAAGGCAAGATTAACAACTGGAGGCTATTAAAATTGAAAATAAATGGATTTAAAATGAAGACATAGTACACCCAAGTCTAAAGAAGAACCTGAAATCTTGGAACTACAAAAAAAGGTTAATTTATCAGTGAATTTATTTTAGATAATGTAAGACTAAATTACTTACGTAATTCCAGTCACAGCTCAATAAAATATGTCTATTCAGGACATGTTTCGGTGTTAAAACACCATCGTCAGCTTCATTTTATTTCAGATATAGTGTGTAGTGTAGAAGATAAGTTACCGGTAGTCATAAACTTAAAACTATTTAACTTTGTTTAAAAATATCAAACTCTCACCCATTGCCGAACAAAACATACCTTTCCAGTATAAAAAATTAGTTAATTTATACTAATATATTTGGTTACAAATTATCTAATACTAATGTATAGTATGTTTGTTTCCGGTGGGGTGCTTGATGGAACGAGACCACGGAAGGAATTAAAGTACGGTAAGTCTGCACTCTACCCCTTTCTTTTAGAGAACAGTAGATATTCTTTAGTATAATAAGGTAATTCTATTCACATTTTGTCTATTACACTGCAGTTAAAAAATTCCAGTCGTAATCTTTCTATGAGAAGATGAAATGCATAAAACTGATGTAAGATCATAGTTTAGTATATTGATTTTAAAATTTTGAGCAGAAAAGGTTGTTTTAATTGCCAAAATTCATTGGAATCATTACATCATCTTTAAAGTTTCTAATCTATGGTTATAACTGATACTAATGTATGGTATGTTTGTTTCCGGTGGGTTCGGGATTCAACGAGGCGATCACACCGGGTGTTAAACAATGGTAAGTACGCCTTCTGTCCCTTTCTTTTAGAGTATAGTAGAGGTTCTTAGCCTTATATTCATGTATTACTCAAACCCTGAAGCTCAATATTGGATTGGTAACATAGACACGGCAAGTGGGTGAGAGTCCTTTGGACTGTGTCACTCAAAATTGTTGTTGTACAGGTAGATGTCGCTGAACCATCAAAGAAGAAATGTGAAGATAACCAGAGCAATACTCTTCTCTTCTACGATCCATCTACAATTTCAAATTATGACTGTAGTTTAGGCCCAACTTAAATTTTCAATGAAAAATCTAAAGAAAATTATACTCTTTAACCTAAAAAGACTAAAAAAATAAAACTACAAAAACAACAAAGATATTTTTACATTAGGCTGTATAAACAATTGTGCGTTTTGAAATACTAAACCATAAAATATTACAGAGAACATTTTCAAGTAGGTTCGTTGTCAATTTATTTCGTATAATAGTTTTTTTTTAGTAAAACAAAACTTTTGCATTTAAAATTCATTACTATTTACATTTATTTTATGCAGTGGTTTTTGTGAAGCCTGCCTCGGTTTCTGCCCAAATTATCTACATATCACTTATACTGTTAGTTCCCTTTAGAGTGCGGTTATAAAAAACACTAGAAATACACCCTCAAAACCCCGACACTATAGGAATTTTAGGCTCCCAATTTTTAGATTAGGGAAAAAACATACGGCAATTTCTCTTCTAGGGTCCCTTGACTCCGACTTTAGGTCGTGATAAGAATACACGGATTCCCCCATCGGCTTAGAAGAAAGAAAGGAAGAATGAAATACTGAAAATCTGATATGTTCCTATTTACATGGATTTCCCTCAACCATTTGAAAAGGATAACAAAGAGGAACAAGAGATAGTAAAGAAGACAATTCATTAACAAGTAATCCAAGAAGTGGACTCCTCTAAAGTAAAAATACACAGCAAAGGCAAGATTAACAACTGGAGGCTATTAAAATTGAAAATAAATGGATTTAAAATGAAGACATAGTACACCCAAGTCTAAAGAAGAACCTGAAATATTGGAACTACAAAAAAAGGTTAATTTATTAGTGAATTTATTTTAGATAATGTAAGACTAAATTACTTACGTAATTCCCGTCACAGCTCAATAAAATATGTCTATTCAGGACATGTTTCGGTGTTAAAACACCATCGTCAGCTTCATTTTATTTCAGATATAGTGTGTAGTGTAGAAGATAAGTTACCGGTAGTCATAAACTTAAAACTATTTAACTTTGTTTAAAAATATCAAACTCTCACCCATTGCCGAACAAAACATACCTTTCCAGTAAAAAAAAATTAGTTTATTTATACTGATAATTATATTTGGTTACAAATTATCTAATACTAATGTATAGTATGTTTGTTTCGGTGGGGTGCTTGATGGAATGAGACCACGGAAGGAATTAAAGTACGGTAAGTCTGCACTCTACCCCTTTCTTTTAGAGAACAGTAGATATTCTTTAGTATAATAAGGTAATTCTATTCACATTTTTTCTATTACACTGCAGTTAAAAAAATTCCAGTCGTAATCTTTCTATGAGAAGATGAAATGCATAAAACTGATGTAAGATCATAGTTTAGTATATTTATTTTAAAATTTTGAGCAGAAAAGGATGTTTTAATTGCTAAAATTCATTGGAATCATTACATCATCTTTTAAGTTTCTAATCTATGGTTATAACTGATACTAATGTATGGTATGTTTGTTTCCGGTGGGTTCGGGATTCAACGAGGCGATCACACCGGGTGTTAAACAATGGTAAGTACGCCTTCTGTCCCTTTCTTTTAGAGTATAGTAGAGGTTCTTAGCCTTATATTCATGTATTACTCAAACCCTGAAGCTCAATATTGGATTGGTAACATAGACACGGCAAGTGGGTGAGAGTCCTTTGGACTGTGTCACTCAAAATTGTTGTTGTACAGGTAGATGTCGCTGAACCATCAAAGAAGAAATGTGAAGATAACCAGAGCAATACTCTTCTCTTCTACGATCCATCTACAATTTCAAATTATGACTGTAGTTTAGGCCCAACTTAAATTTTCAATGAAAAATCTAAAGAAAATTATACTCTTTAACCTAAAAAGACTAAAAAAATAAAACTACAAAAACAACAAAGATATTTTTACATTAGGCTGTATAAACAATTGTGCGTTTTGAAATACTAAACCATAAAATATTACAGAGAACATTTTCAAGTAGGTTCGTTGTCAATTTATTTCGTATAATAGTTTTTTTTTAGTAAAACAAAACTTTTGCATTTAAAATTCATTACTATTTACATTTATTTTATGCAGTGGTTTTTGTGAAGCCTGCCTCGGTTTCTGCCCAAATTATCTACATATCACTTATACTGTTAGTTCCTTTTAAAGTGCGGTTATAAAAAACACTAGAAATACACCCTCAAAACCCCGACACTATAGGAATTTTAGGCCCCAATTTTTAGATTAGGGAAAAAACATACGGCAATTTCTCTTCTAGGTCCCTTGACTCCGACTTTACGTCGTGATAAGCATACACGGATTCCCCCATCGGCTTAGAAGAAAGAAAGGAAGAATGAAATACTGAAAATCTGATATGTTCCTATTTACATGGATTTCCCTCAACCATTTGAAAAGGATAACAAAGAGGAACAAGAGATAGTAAAGAAGACAATTCATTAACAAGTAATCCCAGAAGTGGACTCCTCTAAAGTAAAAATACACAGCAAAGGCAAGATTAACAACTGGAGGCTATTAAAATTGAAAATAAATGGATTTAAAATGAAGACATAGTACACCCAAGTATAAAGAAGAACCTAAAATCTTGGAACTACAAAAAAAGGTTAATTTATCAGTGAATTTATTTTAGATAGAGTGCGTAGTGTAGAAGATAAGTTACCGGTAGTCATAAACTTAAAACTTTTTAACTTTGTTTAAAAATATCAAACTCTCACCCATTGCCGAACAAAACATACCTTTCCAGTATAAAAAAATTAGTTAATTTATACTGATAATTATATTTGGTTACAAATTATCTAATACTAATGTATAGTATGTTTGTTTCCGGTGGGGTGCTTGATGGAACGAGACCACGGAAGGAATTAAAGTACGGTAAGTCTGCACTCTACCCCTTTCTTTTAGAGAACAGTAGATATTCTTTAGTATAATAAGGTAATTCTATTCACATTTTGTCTATTACACTGCAGTTAAAAAATTCCAGTCGTAATCTTTCTATGAGAAGATGAAATGCATAAAACTGATGCAAGATCATAGTTTAGTATATTTATTTTAAAATTTTGAGCAGAAAAGGTTGTTTTAATTGCCAAAATTCATTGGAATCATTACATCATCTTTAAAGTTTCTAATCTATGGTTATAACTGATACTAATGTATGGTATGTTTGTTTCCGGTGGGTTCGGGATTCAACGAGGCGATCACACCGGGTGTTAAACAATGGTAAGTACGCCTTCTGTCCCTTTCTTTTAGAGTATAGTAGAGGTTCTTAGCCTTATATGCATGTATTAATCAAACCCTGAAGCTCAATATTGGATTGGTAACATAGACACGGCAAGTGGGTGAGAGTCCTTTGGACTGTGTCACTCAAAATTGTTGTTGTACAGGTAGATGTCGCTGAACCATCAAAGAAGAAATGTGAAGATAACCAGAGCAATACTCTTCTCTTCTACGATCCATCTACAATTTCAAATTATGACCGTAGTTTAGGCCCAACTTAAATTTTAAATGAAAAATCTAAAAAAAATTATACTCTTTAACTTAAAAAGACTAAAAAAATAAAACTACTTTGGATCTACACCAAACTTCACACAAACCATCTTTGAATAATGCTTAATAATGCCTGAAAGTTTCATTACAATCTGTCGAACGGTTTCGAAGTCCTTAAAGGACAAACAAACATACAAACAAACATACATTGGATTTTATATATATAGATATATGTATATAGAAGATGAAGTATTCAGGTTGATTCTATTTAAACCCAAAAATCGCTAGTCACACTCCTAACTTACCTTGTAGTTATGTGGTATTACTGGAGACACCTGTCTACATGTTAGTTTGATGCCGTGTTCCGGAATGTTGTATTCAGTCCAGGACCTGGGATAGAGTGCTGTGTACCTGGCCTGGTCCCCGGGGAAGCCCCATTTCCAGGAACGCAGCTTCCCCCCTTCAGCACCTCTAAACATACGATTGTCCAGTCAGCAGCTTTGTGTTGGTTAGAAAATGGACTCGGCTGTCCATGATAATTGGGCTTTTAATGGTCCATGCTATAAAACCAGTTAGGTAACAAATTATCTGGGTAGTCAAATGGTTATAGTGCTCCTGTGTGATATTTAAGATGTGTCATGACTAAATAGCTCTTTAAACCTTACTACAATGCTGTGCTAGAATAATTTAATCAATTGGTGTTAATTTAAATCTGGAAAGCTGTATGAAAAAGATCAATCAGGGGACAAAAGTCCCGTTTCATCCCGCATTCTGTTTTAATCCCACTCATGGCCTAAAAATCCTGGTTTTGGGATTTCCACAGATAGAAACACTGGCCTGTTCCCTATTTTATTCACGTATATTGGTTGAATTCTATTTTCTTTTAATCAACCTACAAAAAATCTATTGATTGTGTAGTTTTACCTCAAAGTTGACAAGACCTGTTGGTAGACAACTTTTCCCTCAGGGTTCTGGATTGTGACGATGAACTGGTTTGCATCCACTGAATGGTACTCGTAGAAACCTGGCTGCATCTGGTATCGGCAAAATTCCCCTCGGAAACTTCTGCCGATCGTCCCTCCACCGATCCCTCCCAGGGGTACTCCTGTGAAAACACTTGCTTTTATTAGGCCCGAAGTGTGGCTTCAACAGTGGAGGAGAGGAATTTTGAGTAAAGGCGTCTTTAGCAACCAAAGTCACAAGACGTCCACAATTCTAGTCGAAATAATTTCAAAACAAAACTTGGTTTAAGGTTTGGTATGGAATTTTTTAAATTCAATATGTCAAGTATCTAGCAACAGTTTCCAGCAAATTGTTTTAGAACATTAAAACACATTTGTGTCACAAAATATTTACGTGTAGAACTTCTTTCCAACCCTAATAATTCTTAAAAGTCTCTGTGTTTCTCTTTTCAATCTTACTTTGAACATTTTCAAGTATATAGTAAAATGTTGAAGGTGGGACATACAGTTAACTTTTGCCAAAACTGGCCGCAAGTAAGTAACTATTTCGAACGTACTAAGTTTAAAGCGTCTTAACTATAATTTTAGCATGTTACCAAAAATGAAACAGCAAAAAAACTATTAAAAATACACTTGTTAACTATGTTAAAGCTTTTAAAACCAACCTATGAGTAAGCCCATAACATTTCAGAATGACTGTTTAGGTGGTTTTGTTAAAATTAATTGTTTAAACTTTAAACTTTAATGACAAACTTTTTAAAACCCTGTACTTTTCAGTCTTTTCATTATATTAATATTTCTGTTTAAAGGAAAAATTTGTTATTGTCTCCAGAATGTACATAAGCCAGCTTCAATTTGGTTGTTTTTAAACTCAATCGGGTGATCCATCTCAGGTCAAACTCACACACACACATAACCTTTTCCTCAACATCATGTCGATCACCTGCTCTCATTGAAAAACCACTCTCACAACTATTGATATAAAATGCAGTATTTATCAATGCAAACCGCACCAAAACTTTGACTAAGGTGCCTTGACTTGCCAAGCATTCTACTGTATGTGTTCACTTAGCAACAATGCAATTCGAGTGACTTACCTCGTCCGATTGTTGCATTATGCTGCCTGCTTTAAATCTTTCTCTCACTTCCGCTGAATTAATAATCAATCCCATCTTAAAGGATTATTTTTAAATACTGGTTTGGATTGTTAATCTATCTGAAGGTCGCAGGTTAGATCTTGAGGATCAATTTCTGACCCAGTTGTCTTAATTCACTGGATTACTATTACAAGGTGCTTTCAATATATTATCTTGGCATTTGACAGTCACCAGACCATGGTTTGGAACTTTAATTTTTAAGTCTTTGAAATACCTTTGGCATTATAATGGTAAAAACTAATTTGAGCCTTATTACAGAAGTAAGAATGTCAATATAATATCATTATGTATTCTTATATCACTCGAAGCAAGGGAGCATGACACATCCGGAAAATAATAGTTGCAACACTTTTTTTACCGTCCCAAAAACATTAAAATATAAACAATTTATTGGATCAAATATTTTTATAATTTTTTTAAGTAGGTAATTAACCAACCATAGATAATTTGTCTCAAAGTAATGTAAAACCAAACCATTAAAAGCTGAATTTATATTAGGTCTATATTAAATATTTAATCTTTTAGGGTGAACTAGTTTGGCAGATAACATTGTGAATTGTTCCAAAGCTAACTAATCTTATCATTTCAATGGTGTTTTTCAATTTGATAGTATTGTTATGCATAATCACTAATCAGCCAATTGTATTGTACCTAGGTACTCTTCTTTTAGATATTTTACCAACTTATGTTTTTTGATTGTATTTTTGATCATAAAACTACATTTCATCTGATCTATACAAAATAACAAAGATTACCACAATTAGTTCTTTAAGACTGTGTCTTTCATGAATAAATAGTCTGATTAAAATTCAAAGTAATGGAGATTTTTGTTTCGTTAAATTCATATTTCAACATGTTAACTTCTAGGCCTATTCTGTTTTCCCATGAACCACTATAATTTAATAACGAAAACCATTTAAAAACTGATTTAGCCTATAAAAATTATAACAGTTAGCCAATTCTATATTAAACCTATAGATTGATTGAGAATTAAGGGACCTTTTCTTTTGGAGTGTGAGCCACATATGGGCTTTACGTGTTCTCCATTTGGGGCTTCAGAGCGCCTTTAACCCATGTAGTGATCTTAACACGGATACAATAGTTTACAAAAACAACTATGTTAGAAGTTACATTCCTATCAATTTAAGTAACATCTGCACAACCAAGATGCATCGTAATGTCTTGGTGACGTTATTGACAAATTATAAGTGTTTATTGTGGTTTACGCAAAGATCGCGTAAAGATAGTGTCGTTTATAGATATATATCTTCGCCCGAACTGTTGGAAAACTTTACGGAAATGTTACAAAAAATTTCACAAAGTTTAAAATAAAACTAGTGTACCTGTTGCTCGAAATCGAGCAATTGTCAAGTACCGGTATTATACAGAAGTTATTTTAAAACTACAGTAACAGTCATAATTTTCTATAAGTTTAAAAGACCCGAATAAATGCTTATGTAACTAATTGAAATACGCACGCAATTTAATATCGCTTTGAAATAATAAACGCTTCTTGTAAAAATATTTTAGCATTTTTTGGACCCGGCCTTATTTTTTAATGTTTTCTACAAATGTTTCCCGACTTAAAGCTGTTACCAGTAAACATTTCTTGCGTGTATATTTTATCGACTTTAGGTAGGTTTACTTTACCACTGTCACAACATGATGTGTATATTCTTTGTGTATATTCTTTGTTTTTTTTTTTACTTCCAAAATAAGTTGCTTAGCATAACTGGCAGAAATGATTCATCTCCCCAAGTGATTGTGTACCTGGATTCAATACTGTGAGACCAGGCCTCTCCTCTACTCTTCTCATACGTATAAGATTTCCTATAATTGTCTTCTCCTCTTGTTTTCAATTTCTCCTTTAAGCTCAAGAAATTGCCTGTTATTCCAACAAAACTGATTGACTGTTTGGATTTGTCTATAACCTCCTAAATATTACAAACATCAATATTTACTCCCAAAAAGCTGGTGAGTTTCTTTTTATATACAGCTGTTTTTGTTTTTAAATTAGTTTTCAATGTAATTCTTATGGGGAAAATGTGACCTTTGAGAGCGTATCGTGCCCATAAGTGTAAAAGTTTTAAAATTCTAAAACCTTTATGCAAAACTATGAATTGAGACAAATTATTTGACACCTCAAACGTTAAAATCTGTCCAGAAATAACGGAGGAGTTTTGTTCACAAAAAACAGCCCTCACGTATTAATATAAGAGAAGATGGTAGGGAATCACTTACCACTCCACTGCTTTGACGTAATCGGCCACACAAAGTCCATTATCGGTCGACGTCCTTTCCACCACACTTTCAGGCAATACCACAGATATCTAATAGAACATTACATATTATTCAATAATAAAAGTAGCTTACATACTTTTTACATTTTAGCCCACTATTTCTATTCAAATTTATAGTGCAGTGGAGTCTCGGCATGCGATCAGACCTGTACTATGTGACGACCGTTTACCACAAATTAGTTAGTAGGCCTACTTAAATGTATTTTTGTCCTTTATTGTGTTTTGTACGTGTGTGTCGGAAAGACTGTGACGTGACCATTATGGTTTAGACAATTTGTTTGTAAGATTTAACAATGACGCATTGAAGTCAAAACACATGTAGGCCCTAATCCTATTTTTGGACTACATGGATCACTTGGCGATTAAGGTAATGTAACCACATATATATAAAATTTATAGAAGAGGAGATAATAATTTAATATGAGGAAAGGGTGGGATGGATACAGTTATAATCAGAGTTCAATTCGAGAGGAAAGTAGCGACAGTCAATAAAAACACAAAATCAATTAGTAATAAATAACCATACAAACTCAACAATAATAAACGGTAACTGAACATCAACATCATCACAACAAAATATCTATTGTTCTAACAAAATATATATTTTTCAAGGGAATCGAAGGTATCTGAATTGTAAAGGATAGGTGTTTAAACTACAAAACTGGGCTTCAGTTTTGATACGCTATATTATAGAAATCAAACACTAGTTAAAATTACACATAACAACTAACCTGTGACACTTCTGCTTCAATACAAACTTACCGGAACAAAAGTGGGACAAAAGGCCAGATCTGATGTAACTTTGGCTTCATCTTTTGGTTTTGTTTTTCAGGAAAAACATGATCCAGTTTAACGCTCCATCCGTAGGAGGGCACTTGTGAAAATTTGCTGTCCATTGTATTGACTTGAGGATGCTGTAATTAAACAAAAGATTTAGGCGATAGGCCTGATGCACATTTATCTTACTACCTTCACATCGTTTCACAAAGAAAGATTAGAAAAAAGACTAACAGCCACTGGAATGTTGGTTTTCCATCCACTGGAACACCAAGTTCTGACAATTTTTTCTATCATTTTTAAATTTTGCATTTTAATGTGTGTTTATAAGAGCATTGTGAATAGCTCGGTTTCAGCCACACTTATTACCATTGGATTTAACTTAAAACAAATTTACATAATTTTCACATCTTCAATTACGATCTTTTACCTGTATATAAACAAAGGACAAAAATGTTTAAACCAACTCCCAGATCAGTTGAAAAATATTCCAAACATAAACGGCTTTAAAAATAAACTTAAAGACTTCTTCGTAACAAGACCCTTCTACAAAATAAATGATTTCTTTGAGGCTGTTGAAGATAATGTGAAGAACTTAAATAAATCTCCCTTTCTTAAGGACAGCGGAGGCAAACACCCACAAGTAACAAGTATAAATAAGAGCATATCCATTAGTGAGTCGTAAAATGTAAACAAGCAGACTTTTCAGAGCACACTGCTCCCTCTGCCTAAAAATTTACTAATTTACCGGTAAGTTGTTTTAGTGCTTGCAGCATTTTTGAAATCGTTATTTCATTGTGTTTAACACACTATTTTAATTTCACAACAACTGTCTGTGTGTAATATAAATTATCAACTCAGTTCACTATAACCTACACTTTACCTTCCTAATCTAAACCTAACTACAAAACACTTAATACAGTCACGAATCCGCATAAGCCCGACTTGCCTTCCACACATGCCTAAATAAAATCATTCTGAAATAAGTTATTCAGTGCCGTGTTGTTTCTTACATGTTTGTAGCACATGTAATTTAAATGACTTGATTGACTTATTTTTATTCTCTTCTCTTCAATTCCGTATTTTCATTTTCATTTCAGGTTCAGTATATTTGTACAAGTAACAGTTAGTCCGTTCCGTGATTCCGTAATGCGGCAAGCAGTAGCAGACTAGAATTAATAGAAGGTAGATTTAAAGGAAATCAAAACGACAAATTATCTTAAGTTACCTTAGTTAATATTCGTGGCCTCGGAGACATTTTTGCACTGTTTTTTCCTGTTAAAAAGTCAGTCTTCTACTTTAATTACTTACAATTAACGTAATATATCAAGTATCTGGAGAGAACATTAGGCTTATAAATAGGTTAGGTCAAAAAAACAAAGTACCAGTAAATAAAACTTAAAACAGCCGTAACTCCGTTAATATTTGAGAGCGCGGAAAAATTTTTGCACCATTATTTTCAGCTAAAAATCTAGTTTCTAGTGATATATAAATCTATATAGGTTCTTATGGTCACGTTCGTCGCAATAAATACCCCAATAACTCTTGAACCATAGGCTAATTTTTACAGAAATCGGTTTTACCATTTTGTTTATAATTTATAAGAACATAACATAATAATTTGAATCAAACCCGTGTTTTCATTAAATCCAATTTTTGGGTTTTTTATGTGAAAATAGCATAGCCTAAGTTAAGTAACAATAACTTTTGAACCATATTTTTTACGGAAATAGAATTGGTACCTACCTACCATTTTTCAGAATTTATAGCACTACAAAGTTAACATAGGCCTAACTTACTAAATTTTTATCAAAATTGTTCAGCCCATTTTCGAGAAAATCTGATTTCCCAGTTACGGTATTTTAAGAGTTTTATGGTCACCATTAAAAATAAAAAATTTAAAAATTAAAAATCGCCTGGAGATAGGCCTACAATGGGTTAGTGCCTACGGTACGTACCAGATTTCCTCAAAATCGGACTACAGGTATAGTACAGGTATTAAAGGTGTGTAGCTCTGTAAAAGAATAACACCCTGTATCCTGTAGGTTAACCTACAACATGCCATTCCAGCTAGGCCTATTTCTTCCAAGAAGTAAACTATAGGCCTACTAGGCTTAGTTAAATTGGTTAATTATTATACAGTTACAAATTCAAAGTGTCTGAGGGTGAGTGATCTATAGGCCCTAGGCTGTAGTAGCCTACCTAAGATAATCTATTTTTCAACAAACTATGTTGGTTTGGGTGTAATAATAGAGGGGTTCAGTTCTAGATAGCTTAACCACAGAGAAGTAATATAAAGTAATATAAAGTAATATAAAATAGAATAGTAATAGAAAAGTAATATAAATTAATAAAGTATAAGTATTTATTTATACCTTTCAGCTATTTTAACATTGCACCTATACTTCTCTGTGATTAGACATAATGTTACTGCCCTAGTGTACACTGTGGGAAACGGAGCAGTTCTAACAATTAGCTTTACGAGAACACGTTTATAAATATTTATTTCATATTTGGTATCTTTGGAAAGCTTATTTCATTCTGCATTTAACGGAATAGGTTTCAAATAAAGGTCTTGATAATTATTGGAACGACAGTTGAAACCGTAACCTGTACTTTGTTCAGCGGCTGGCAGCGGAGTAGTGAGCAGCGCAGCGCTGTCGCGACCTGTCGTGTACTCTGTGAACTACGTCAAGTCGGGACACGCTCGCTACTTGGGGACACGGATTACGCGCAACACAGATATTAACTCTGTTTATATTACTTCTCTGTGGCTTAACTTACTTGGAGTCTAAATATGTATGACATCATTGTATACTTCATGTCTCACATATCTAAGTTGTGTCGATTGTCAATACGCTGTATTTATGTGTTTAATGACAACAAATAGTCTATTCTTGATTCTTGAGTCTAGGGACCGGCAAATAAGTTAAACAAAAATACAAAAAGACGCAGTCTAAGTAGGCCTAGATAAGTTTTAAGGGTAGGTGTATGGCTAAGTTTAAAATATTACAATAAAAAAATCTATATTTACAGTTTAGTTAAGAGGTCTTAATAGCACTGAGTTTACAGATCTAGGCCTAGGCCTAATCTTCAACAGATAGATTTCAAAGTTAGACAGACTGATAAAGCGAAATTTTACTTACCAAATTAATGAATGTACTATTTTTGATCAAAAAGATCTTATAATATAATCCTAGGTCTTCTAGATCTTGACTATATGAGTAATATCACATAGACTAGACTTTACCTAAGAGTTGTATTGTATTTTGTTATGTTCATGTTCATATAAACAAAGTTGTCATTTTTGTATCAATACAAGATTTTTATCGATAAAAAAAACAAAGTCAACGTCAACAGCATAACTAATCAGCTGACTAAATCCAGTGATTTGAGTAAGCTAGTAAGCAATGCCCATGTACCTTTGGATATAGGGCAGTTGTAGGTTTTGTATGAGTAGATTATATTCTCGCAACCAATTCTTTGACCTGACCCGCTATAAAATCTCATACAATTTCATAATATTTCAATTCGCTAGTCTGCAGCTAAAATTACAGAAATAATTTAAGTATAAAATTCTTGTAAGGTGTTATGTCTAAAAAGTAAAACTATCTGTTCCAGATATTTGGCGATGTAGGCCTATCATTTACTTCTATAATACAACCTGGAAATTTAATAATTATTAATTACCAACTACTGTTAAATAATTTATTGTTTCCAACCAAGGCCCCTTCCAATACACAAAGCCACATGGCATTTTATTGAAGCCTGTCAGAAAGCAGAAAGAAGTATCCAGCCATATCCAAAGACCAAAATTCAACTGTCAATTAAATTATAGTTTTAGGTTATGTTTCTGATAGGAAAACGTGTTTATATTCAAATATGTAATCCTTCTATTTTAATATTTACATATCGGTTGCAGAATACTTTGAAACACTTTTTATTCTGACAATCTTACATTTAATAAGCCTAAACATGCCTAAAGTTAAAGCAGAAAAGAAATCAAGAACACACCAAGAAGTTGCCAAGCAAGGTAGGCCTAGGATTTTGTTTTTGGCATAGGCAAGAATAAATAGGCCTAGTTAATAATAATATATGTTTATTAAATATGCATGTTGAAATAAGTGACACACCTATGACATACAAATTTTGATTTTTTATAGGCAAAGGTTATTAATTTATCTTGGCGATATTCAGTACAACAATGTAATTTTTATTAGAAAATTTTCTCATGCGGGAACGCTCACCATCATCTCTGGAGAACCAAATGGTGCCTATTAAAATACAGGGGTTTTGGTAATATAATGCTGCCAGTTCTGCTTAAAAATAAATTTGGATTGCCAATTCTAAGCTAATATACATTATTTTTTATTCTTGAATGGTTTTTATATCCAAACTAAGCCTAGTACGCCTAAGTTTACCTTATGTTTTCATGTTCACTGGAGATAACTTGAATGTTTCTTGTTTTAAAGGTATCCTATTCAACAAAGGATTTGGGCAACACATATTGAAAAACCCATTAGTAATTCAAGGAATGGTAGATAAATCTGCTGTTCGATCCACAGACATTGTCTTGGAAATAGGGCCTGGAACAGGTAACATGACCGTGAGGCTCCTAGAGAAAGCAAAAAAAGTTATCGCCTGTGAAATTGATACAAGGTAACTAGCATAAGTTAGTTTTAATCAATTAATTAATGTGGTTTGTCAGACCTGAGATTTCTCCTCAAACGGGTAAAACTTAGTTCATTTTTTGTTGTTGCAAGTCTCGAATAGGTAAAATAAGTGAATAGGTGATAAACTATGTGATATTAGATGTAGACATTTCATTTCTTCTTAGACTTTAAGTACACTCTGTAACACTCTCAATTTAAAAACTGCTCTGTATGAAAAAGATTTGATTCTTCCAATATTGTAATATATCTACTGGAAATAAACATGTCTTATGTGTACAGCTCGTGATATGTAAGCTAGCACTTGACCAATGCCTACTAGCATCTGGTTCAAAAAATTATGTGCCGTCATGCAAGCTGCGTTAACTGACCCACATGAAGGCGCTCAAGTAGGCCTACATGAAACACGGGTAGGTCAACCCAGTGAGTCGGAAGAAATGTTTGCAGAAATGGTTATGGGACATAGTACCGTACTGTAATTTTCCTCAGTTTAGATGTATGACAAATAAGCTAACCTTTGCATGACTAAGATAAAAGTGTGATTACTTAAGTCTTGGCAATTAGCATCACCTCTTTTTACTGGTCTAATGTATGAATCGTCATTAAAGATAGGATGAAAGCTGTAAGGATGAAGGCCCGAGTGCCGGCTTACATGTTACGAGCTGTAGTGTTGTTTGAAACAATTTAGCCCTCTTAGTTATTTCAGATTCAGGAGCATAGCAAATAATGAAAGATAAAATTTACGGATGTTATAAATATTATTTGTCCAGTGATAGTTTTAAAGTCGAGGGTTTTACGAAGTTTGCTCATAAAACTTTTCTTTCTACTAGGTAGCTAACCTTTTTGGTGCTGCAGGGTAATACTAACCCAAACCCCAAATGGAAGTTTTTCATTCATCGTTCTCATGCTAGAATCAAATATCCTAATTGTAACTCACAACTTTTTTACTAACAACACAAACTGAGGTCATAAAGAATCTTGAACTGTGCCTTTAGGAGTTTATTAAGTCTAAATTAAATCGGCTGTTAAAAAAATTACATATTACTTATCATCATAATACTTTGGATAGGTAATGTATTTTTTAACTATTTAGTATTAAAACTTTGTGTGACAAAAACATATTGCCATGTAATTCCTTTCCGAGACATGAAATCGAAGAATTGGTAGACTAACAATTATCCTTAAGCTTAGAACAAAAGCTTGTTAATGCCAGGTTTTACAAACACTTGTTTTGCAGGTTAGTCGCTGAGCTCCAGAAGCGTGTCCAAGGTACTCCGTACCAGTCTCAGCTGCAGATCTTGGTCGGAGATGTGCTTAAGACGGAACTTCCGTTTTTCAACATCTGCGTGGCTAATATTCCCTACCAGATCTCGTCACCACTGGTGTTCAAGCTGCTCTTACATCGGCCGTTTTTCCGCTGTGCAGTGTTGATGGTTCAGCGAGAGTTTGCCCAGCGTCTTGTCGCCAAGCCAGGAGACAAGCTGTACTGTCGTCTGTCTATCAACACTCAGCTCCTTGCCAGAGTGGATATTTTGATGAAGGTACCGTGGCCTAAGTAGATACACTATGTGCTCGGCACTGAAGTTATCCATTTAAGATTTATTCAAATAGTCGAACCATGTTAGATGTTGCATCATAAATTTTGTTGTATAGAGGTTGGCGGCATCTTTTAACCTTGGATTTGCAGTCCACATAGGCCTGTGCATGGGGTGTCTCTAGCAAATCAAAAAGCAAGATGTAAGCCGGTATACCACAAGGGTGAAATGTACTGATAAGATAAAAAATAGTGGCCCCAAGTACGTAGTTCCACTGAATTACCTGCTAACTACCTAACACAAAATCAGTTTAAAATCCCCTGGAATATGAGGAACAGTATTACTTAACAGCACAAACCTTGATAAGTAGACAAAGTAGGTAAGTGTTAGGCTTGCTTTCAAGGTCTTGGTATCGTTATAAAAATCTCATCAATTAATATATCTACCACAGGTTGGCAAAAACAATTTTCGACCACCGCCCAAGGTTGAATCAAGCGTAGTGCGGATTGAACCCAGAAACCCTCCTCCACCAATCAACTTCAAAGAGTGGGACGGCCTGACGAGAATAGTTTTCGTGCGGAAAAACAAGTCACTTAGAGCAGCTTTCAAACAGAGCGTGGTGTTAACTACGTTGGAAAAGAACTACAAAGCACACTGTTCTTTGAGCAATCAGGTAATATTTTTTTTGAAATTGTACATATAATTTACAGATGTATATTTTAAAGTATAACCATTGACTTCAGGGTACTTAAGTGGACATCCCAAATCTTTCATTCAAATAAAACACAGTCAGTCAAATTATTTACTTCTGTTTGTGCTCATAACATTAAATTGTTGTCTTAAGCTTTTTGTTGGTATTTCTATGTACTATTTCTACTCATTCTTTCATACAATATCTTAACTTGAAGTCTTGTATTAAAGGCGTTATATTTTTTTCCATCTTATTTGATTGTGAAAAGAAAATACTAAACCAAATGTTTTAGCTCAAAGCAATAACATTGTATTTGCAAGGTTTAAGAAGTGTTAAGTAAAACCATAGACAAAAAGAATTAAATATTAAATATAGACCGACAGCAGTGTTGCGGTTAGTTCTGGCATCCATTGTTAGGAGTGCCATATAGTTACGTTGTGTCAAAGTCAAAACATTCTTTATTCATTGTTTTGTAGCGTAAGTACATTGAGCATGCGTCATTTCATAAAACTAATCCTTATAATACAATTTCGGTCAATAAATACAATAATGTCAAAAACACCATCATTTCTGTTGGCAAATATTAAATTTAAGGCCGTTAGTTATTTTAAAACTCATCTAGTGAGTATAATAATGCTCTCTCAACTAGGTGTTCTTTTTTTTTCTTTTAAATTTTGAAAACTCTTGATTTTTGTCTATTATGGTAGAAATGTTGTTTAAAAATTTAGATCCTATATAATTTGGCTTTTTCTCAAACATTTTTAATCTGTGACTTTGCAACCTTTTTTTTTGTTGTTTCTTGTATTATAATGGTGGATCAACTGACCAGTCTCAAATTGTTCTTGATTTTGTTTTCAGTAAACAATAGTTTCATATACGTAAAGACTGAATACCGTCATAATTCTTAATTCTTTAAAATTTTCTTTAACATGGTCAGTTTGTTCTATAGTTAGCATTATTCTGATTGATTTCTTTTGTAGTTTTAATATCTCATACAGATTATTAATATTGGTTGCTCCATAAACATGTATATTGTAGGCTAAATGAGAATGTATCATACCATAATAGACCATTTTGAGAGTTGTCAGATCACAAATATTTGCTAATGTCCTGAGAGCAGACACACCAGAATTCATTTTTGCCAGTACTTTTTCAATGTGGGAGTTCCAACTGAGACTGCTGTCTATATTTAGGCTTAAAAAGGTTGTTTGTCGAACAGGTTCTAAAGATGTATTATCAATTTTTATGTTGGGGAAAGCAATTGTTTTGTTTTTGGTGGAAAAGGTAATATAATGGACGCGTTGCAGAAAGTCAACAGTCCCGGAAGGTCAAATAATTTATACCTGTGCCGCTAGGTCAAA